TTACCGGGATTACTTTTTGATTTTCGCTTATAATGATACACGGGGATTTTTTCATTTCCGTTTTGAAACATTATCATTTGTTGGTTCGGATATTATTTGTGCTCTAATTCGTCTTGTTTAATATTCCACAAATCTAACCGGTTTCATTTTAGAAAATACCTTCACACGTGGAAAAAAGTTATCCCAAAAAGGTCTACGTAACTTTTTACAATTGTATTCATATTATTTCTCCACACGAAGAAGGACGCTTTGAGCCGAAACAGTTATTGTCATTCAATAATAAAATTTCTATTACATTAAACGTTAAGTAAGAGAATTACAAAATCAGTTTAAATTTCCGTAAGCGAATAGTTAAGTCCTTCTTTCGAATAATTTCGCAATAAATTTATCAATGTTCTACCTAGCTGTTTAGTTTAGGAACTTTAATCATTACGTAAATGATGAGTTTAAGAAAGTTTAAGACAGATAAGTCTTTCTGAAGAGGCAGCTTAATGACGCGGTTTTTAACATAATTTGCTACAACAACTTGCATACATACATAATAAGCATAAATGATAGATTGCCAGTTTAAAATTTTATAAAATAAATATCTATTGCAGATGCAACGCAAAATTTAATTAATAATATACAACGTTTAAATTGTTTCAGAAAAACAAGCGACAGTGTTAGTGAAAAGTCGAACGATCCGAAAGAAAATTGGGGTAATTCATCTCCTCCGTTGTTAAGTCTGCATTTGGTGAGTCCCATTTTTATTTTTTTTTTTTTTTGATGTAAATGTATCCATATTTATGTACATAAATTTATACATTTGAGCACGCGTGAGGGGTGAGCTAATAGTTAGAACGTACCAACATTGCAGAATCCAATTATTGCCAATTATGCCGGAAGAAATTTATTAAACTAGCACATCAGATTTCATTAAGAAAATTTACCATAGATTAGACGAAATTCCGCTAGGCGATAACTGCGAGTACGACGGTACAAGTTAGTTATGTTGCTGCTAAAGGAAGTAATCCATAAATAATTAAATTATTCTACCCCGGCTAATAATTTGCATGTGTTAATAGTTAGGACCGAAATTAATATACGAAATATTTACGCGGTAAAATGCCAAGATCGAATTGAGATATTCTGCTATCATCATCACCATAAGGTCGTCAGTCCTAAGACTAATTAGACCCGCACCTCCACTCATTCCTACTACTTGTGAATAGTAATCTACTCTAGGTCTACCAGTATCCTTCTTATTTCCTCTTTCAGTTTCTAATATGTCTCCAAATAACTCTTCATGTCTCAGGAGATGTCCTACAATCCTACCCCTAATTTTCCTCATTGACATTCATCGCACCCTCTGGTCTCCTATTTTATCCCTGTAAATCTATTTCTAAAGCGGCCCTGCCTTTAATATTACTAATTGGTATAAAATGGAAAAAAAAACATGCCAAGTTGCTAAAATAGAAAATATTATTCTTAAATAGAAATAATGTTACGGTGGTGTCTAGCAAGTTGCTATGTTTCATTTTGTAATCGCAAGCAAAACCATCGAAATTTTCGATTTAATGTAGCGCACGGGAAGGCTTGCGATGTTTTTGCGTGAGCATTAACCAAATGATGGAGGTTGATAAGGGTTAAAGGGGATTTCGGATGCAGATAAACGTACTTAGTGGGGTGGTTTTAGAGAACTGCTTGCTGTGTTAGCGTGCGTACATTTCCAACTAGTCAATAAGGCGATAAAAGGTATTTTAGTGCATTTTTTGTCATGGCACAACGACAGAAAACGGAAACGTTATAGGATTTTTATTACTACATAATACACAAATGTATGTAGATGGTAAAATAGGGAAATTCGGTAGGAGAGCGAGAACGAACTGCGAAATGCAGTGTAAGAATAATGGGGTGAAATTCCTCGAGAAACCATTAAGAATGTTATTACTAAGATGCCTTGAAGGCTGCAAATAGTAATTAAAGCCCGAAAAGGAAATAATTCGCTACTCGGAGACTTGTTTCAATCCCAAGTCAAATTTCGAGTAAGTACGACATAATATCGCATAACGTCGTACGTTAATTTTATACCTAGATATATTTTGCGATATTTCATCAGATTGCTACATTTACGTTTAATTAAGTTTGCTGCTTTATGGTTGTTGTGTTACCGTAATGTATTTTTAACTTGTTTGAATATTTTTCGGAAAAATAAAACAAAAAAATCAATCGGTAGATTTCCTTTGCCACAAATTTCCGAAGTTTATAATTTCTTTAGATGCTCATTCACGCAATAAGGTCGATGTTTCCATTTGAACGAACTTAACATTGAAAAAACGAATTTCCAAGAATAGTTACATTAATTTTAATTAATACGTTGACGTCTATACGGTGGTTGTGCAATATGGGGCAGTTCATCACACTACCAAAAGAAAACTATCGTTAAACTACATTAAAACATTAACCCCCCCATCCCCTCAAATGAAAAAGACAATGGCATAGTCGGTCGATCATTACCACAAGTAAGAAAATGTAAATTCCACCGCTGTGTACAAATCGAAACCCAAGGGCGAGGGGAACTTTTACCCATCACAATCTAAACTACCCTGGATAGTATTCATTTTTCGATGAAAATGTTACGTCTGTGAAGTAGGAGAGTAGTATTTTTACCAAAATTTCAAAAACTTTTGAATTTTTTTGGAGGAAAATTATCGTAGGATAATGTGTTAAAAAATGTATACTATCGATTACTAATCATAAGATTAAAACTTTGGTTTTTGATATAATTACTTTGGATAATTTGGGACCTAGCTGGATAGTATACAAACTATCCAAATGTATGATTAATTTGAAGAATATGTTTGGGATCATTAGACGGTAGAAGTAAACAACACTCACTTCTCTTACTGTAACCTTATAATTCTAAACGTATCCACTAAATCAGACATTTGAACAGTTTGTACACTATTATGCTTGGCTAGTTTACAGATTAGCCAAAATAAACATATTAAACATGACACATATAACTACAGCCAGGCGGCTTTACTCTTATGCTTAGCAATCGATAATATTTTCATCGTACAAGGAATAAAGAAATAATAAATATTTGGTAGGGTAGGTTAGGCTGCGATGGGTAAAAGTTCCCCCTCCTCGTCCTGGGGTTTCGATTTGTACAGAGCGGTCGAATTTACGTTTTGACTTGATGATCTTTTTCTACTCGTCGTAATGATCGACTAAATATGCCAGTGACCTCTTCATTTGGGCAGGGGGGGTCAATCTTTTAGTCTAGATTAGCAACAGCTTTTAATTCGATTTTAAAGCCGTAATGTCTAGGGTCTGAACTCTAATAATGTGGGCATAATTGATATGGAATTTTTATCACTAATGACTATTCTATATTTGGTAAATCTGCGACGCGGTCAAAATTGATGGCAGCGTAAACTGTGACAAGTTTGTTTATATATTATCTGACTCGTCGTCGTCTCTATCATCGTGAAATGTGATTGGTTTTTCGTCGAACGAAAATAACCGAAAGGACTCTCGTCCTTACAATACCGTACTACGCATATCTGTGATCCGAACCTGAACCAGTTTTCAGTGTACCGTCGCGACGCTATCATCATCCCAGTCATACCCTGCGCTTAATTAAAGACGCCGTTTTTCCGACACACATCATACCAC